CCCCCTCCACCCCCCTTCCTCTCCTCATTCCAGCTGTTCCTCCCCTCCCCCTCTCTACACCCCAGCTGCCCCACCCCTCCCCCTCGCTACACCCCAGCTGCCCCACCCCTCCCCCTCCCTACACCCCAGCTGCTCCGCCCCTGTCCACTCCTCTCTTCTCTGCCTCCAACAGCTCCCCACCCTCCCCATCACAGGTATTTCTCCCCACTCCTCCCCCCCTTTCCTACCCTCTGTCTCCTCCACAGTGCCCCTTGCCCGTTGCCCTCCTTCTTCCTTCCCCTCCCTCTGAGTTTCCTCATCATTCCCCCTGCTCTTCCCCGTCCTGCTCTCTGCCCTGCACCTAGATGCGATGCATGAGTGGGAGTATGAAGCCCTGAGTTCAAATGTAGACTCAGACTCTTGTTAGCTGTGTGACCCAGAGTAAGTCACTTAATCTCTGTCTGCCTCAGTTTCCTCATCTGGACAAAGGAGGTAATGACAGCATCCACCTCCCAATGTTATGAGGATCAAATAAATATTCGTAGAAAGCATTTAGCACACAGCGGGTGCTTAATGCTTCTTCCTTTCCCTTCCCCCTTGCATCCTTGGCACACAGTATAGGGTCTTTCGAATAGTAGGCACTTAATAGGTTTGTTGTTAGGGTTGTACTAGTTCTCCTGAGATGTCAAGCAGGGAGAGACCTTAGCTTAGACACCTGAAACTTGACGGGTATTTCATGGCATCCCAAATTGGAGCGAACTTCGGAAGGCCTTCAACGCAACCCCAAAGTAAGGTTCCCCCCTCCTTGCAACTGAAGTTTGGAGATTCTAGCGCCCAGCAGACCCCAGGATAACCAATGGCTCACAAGCCCTGAGCTGCCTTTCCTACTAGGAGATTCCTTGCACTAGAGATGGACCAGGAAGGAGCTCTAAGAGATCACCCACTCTCCTTAACTCAGGGATGCTCCAAACTCACCAAAATAACCCTCACTGGGCCAAAACCAGAATACCATTAGAAGAAGCTGTAGGTTCTCCTGCTGACAAACCTTCAGAACACCCCCAACCCACTTCTGCACAGCTAGAAAGGAGAGTCCAGAATGGGCTGGGTAGGGCGAGCAGCACTTTCAATGGGCTCTGGAAGGGGAGGGAAATCTCAGGATCCCAGAAATCATGCTATATGTCCACATGACAAATGGAGGAGTGGAGAAGAGTGCTGGAAATTTCAGGATAATCCATAAGATTTGTAGCTGGAAAGCGATTCAAACCATATGGTCAGTCGCTTCCGGGAGCCAGGATGGTGGAGTAAGAAGTAAGTCGCTCTCACCCTCTCTCGTTGACCTCTGAAAGCCCAGAAAATATCGACCCAGGAAAAACTCTGAGCCAGCAAAAAGACGGGGCACGGCAGTCTTGTAGCCCAGGAAGCTTGGGGGATTCATAGGAAAGGCCTCGCTTGAGCTGGGGGAGAGGGAGCAGTACAGGACAGGAGGCATCCCAGCAAGCCAGGAGCAAGCCCCGCCTCAGCTTACCAGGGGGAGATCCTAAGAGCCAGGTGGTGGAGCAGGCAAGCGCCAACATCAGGACCCCCTCCAAGATTCAATACAGGAAGGGGAACGGCCAGACACCAGCTCAGAAAACAACCATGGGCAATGGCACCAAATCACCAGTGCCTCAATACAACTCTGAGAAGCACAAGTCCAGAAGGCAAAGCTCCGGGCTGGTGGAAATCCACCAGCATCTAAACATCCCTGTGCAAGGCCCCGGCAACCAGGAGCCAAACATTCAACTGCCCCAGTGAGCAGGAAAAGAAGGTTAGGTAAGTGCCCCCTTTGCTCCAGCTGAAGAATTCAACATTTTTTTTAAAAAAGTCAGAAAAATAGGCAAACCCCATGAACGGAAAGCAGAAACAGAAAATTACCATAGCTTCTTATTTTGGGGAAAGGGAAGACCGAGGTACACATTCAGAAGAGGACAACATTGTTAATATACCCACATACGAAACCTCAAAGGGGAATATGAACTTGTCTCTAGCCCAAAAAGCCTTCTTGGAAGAGCTCAAGAAGGATTTTAAAAGTCAAATAAGAGAGGTAGAAGAAAAGTTGGGAAAAGAAATGAAAGGTATGCAAGAGAGAGTTAATAGTCTTTTGGAATAAAAGTCAATAGTCAGGGGCAGCTAGGTGACGCAGTGGATAGAGCACTGGCCCCAGAGTCAGGAGGACCCGAGTTCAAATCCGGCCTCAGATCCATAATACTTCCTAGCTGTGTGACTCTGGGGAAGTCACTTAATCCTAATTGCCTCACTTAAAAAAAAAAAGTCAATAGTCAATTGGAAAAAAAAGGACAAAAATTAACTATAGAAAACAAGTCCTTAAAAAACAGAATTGGACAAATGAAAAAGGAGGCACAAAAACTCACTGAAGAGAACTCCTTAAAAAGTGAATGAGCCAAATGGAAAAAGAGATACAAAATCTAACAGAAGAAAACAATTCCTTAAAAATTAGAATGGGGCAAGTGGAAGCTAATGGCTATGTAAGAGTAAGAGAGTAAGAGAGTAAGAATCAATCAAACAGAAACAAAAGAATTAAAAAATACAAGAAAACATAAAATACCTCATTGGTAAAACAACTGACCTGGAAAATAGATCCAGGAGAGACAATTTAAAAATTATTGGTCTAACTGGAAACCATGATGAAAAAAAAGAGCCTAGACAGCATCTTTCAGGAAATCATCAAGGAAAACTGCCCTGAGGTCCTAGAATCAGAGGGCAAAATAGTCATCCAAAGAATCTACCAATCACCTCCTGAAAGAGCTCCTAAATTGAAAACACAAGGAATATAGTAGCCAAATTCCAAAATTACCAGGTCAGAGAGAAAATACTGCAGGCAGCCAGAAAGAAACAATTTAAATATCACGGAACCACAGTTGGGATTACATAGGACCTTGCAGCTTTTACATTAAAAGATTGTAGGGCGTACAATATTCTGTAAGACATAGGAGCTTAGATTACAACCAAGGATCAACTACTCATGGAAACTGAGTGTAATCTGTCAGGAGAGAAGATGAATATTCAACAAAATAGGGAACTTCCAAACCTTCTTGAAGAAAAGACCAGAGCTCAACAGAAAATTTGACCTTCAAATACAAGACTCAAGAGAGTCATAAAAAGGTAAACAGGGAAGAAAAAAAACAGCTACATATTAATAGGAGCAAACTATTTACATCCCTACAAGGGAAGACAACACTTGTAACTCTTAAGAATTGTAATGTCATTATGATATTTAAAAGGGAGCATACCTAGAGGGGGTGGGTTTATATTGACTTTGATGTGATGGGAAAAAATCTAATTAAGTGTTGAAAAGGGATTGTGCCCAGGAAAAGAAGAAAGGAGGAGGCAGACAAGGATAAATTACATCACATGAAAAGGCACAAAAATCAAATACAGTAGAGGGAAAGAAGGGAGGGAGCATTGTTTGAACCTTACTCTCATCACATTTGGTTCAAAAAGGGAATAATGCAGTTAGGTATA